CCCCAAAACCCCAAAACCCCAAAACCCCGTCTTAAAAATTTAACTAAAATTGAGTTTGATCTTAGTTATTATTATAATTTATTTCTGATGAAAAACTTAGTTACAGCATTTGGAGCAACAGACAACAGGAAGAGTAAAGCTAAGATAGATTAATCTGAGAGAAAGTCCAAGAGAGTTAAAGATAGTCTTGTGTCTACTAAGTCCAAAGGAGTAAGGAAGAATCACACTGACTAGAATACACCTTTTCAAAGTAAACAAAAGCAGAGGAGAGTTACAAAGAAGAAACCTGAGATAGATTAAGCAGCTCATCCTATTTATCACGATGGCTAGGAATATTAAAGCCAAAAAATAGATAAGGAGCTATAAGATAGAGTTTACTATGCATAAATAGCAAATTCTCAAAGGAATTACACAATACCTCCAAGTTAAACTCAAGAAAACAAGAGGACTGATGACAGTTTAGAATTACCTGTAAAATTCTCTTTTCACTAATCTTTGTTAGAATAGCAGCAATGGATAATAGAATAAAAGTGTGCTTTTAGCTGACACACAGTAATTAATGAAGCAAGAAGAAAATAAGTTTGACAAGTATCCTCCGGAAAGACAGGATAAGCAATCAATGAGAGAATCCAGAACTCCAACAATAGTTGGAAATTTCTCTCACACTAATAAGCAAATAGTACTCTCTCATAGGCAGCCGACATCTTAAAACTTGAGTTATGAAGAGTTAACTTAAGTTGGAATGACTTTGAGCTAAGATTTCAATAGAGTATCGATTTCCTAAAATCAATTGAATCTCAACTAATAGAGATTTAACTCTTGTATTACATACCCTAATGATATCAGGAGTAATGAATGTCATCTCAAGAATAGATCTCCTTATCCTAACAAGAATGAGAGAGTTTTAAAAGACAATCAAATTCCCATTAGCAAGTAGTTTGAAAAATCAGCTAAGAACAGCACAGATGCAAACAGTTTTGAGAACTCGATTGATAAGGAATTTCTATTATCTCAAACTTCTTAATCATGTGGTAGCAATGTTATAATACCATAAATCTGCCCATTTGTGTTTGACTCAGTTCATCAAATCAACTTAGGGAAAAATAATCCGCTGATTATGAAAGAAATCTAGAGTATAAGAGTTAATTGCATGTCTAGTCTAAGAAATTTAAGCAAGTAATACACAGAGATTTAGGCAACTATGAATAAAGCTGATTCATTCATTCAGATGATTTTAGACGACGATACACTAAGAGAACTATCAGACAAAAATGTAGATTTTATTAAGAAAAAAGAGCTAGCATTCAAGGAAATCCACAATCAAGTTACTAGAGGGCTTACTTAAACACTTTAAGAGTACTAAAAGGAGAGTAATAAGATGATTGGAAGAACCCAATAATCACTTGCTAAGGTATTTTAGTGTAGCCTTGACATTTTTAAGAAGAAAATATCTTTCAAAGAAATAGAGTATTTGGAATCATTTGAAGAATTATCTCAGCACTTGGACAAATTGGAAGAAATGAATATTATGAATAAAAGGTTGAGATAAATAGTCCAAAACCAAATGAATGAGTTTTTAAATGAAAATAATAGCACAATGCTTTTGCTAGAAGTATACTCAAATGAATTATTCAAGCTGAAAGTTGAAATATCATATAATAATTCTGCTAAGATTAAAGCTAAGCTTTTGATTTAGTGAGCTATATGATTTATTAGATAAGTTTGTATTTTTATTATAAGTTGATTA